AAGTTTTTACATTCAATCCACCTTTTATGGAATTTATATTATGTGCTTGACGGCTTGATGATGAGCTCAAATAAGGTGATTCAAATAGACACATGGGGTTGAATTTTTGTTGCATGTTACGTACATACATTTCATGACCACAGAAATTGGGAGCAGGTCAGAATTCTTGCTGTGGGTGGCCCTTGCTATATGTTCTCCCAGCTACCCCAGGAATTAAAGCACAATTCAGCTTTCCAAATACTCCACATATAGATTTTAAATGTTGGTTTTAAACATTCTAAACTAGATCTGAGAACTAGAGGCCAAGCAGTTTCTCTCTAGGATGTGCTTTGTGGAGTCCCACTGCCTGTCGAATGATGTTTAATTGGGAAAAATGTATTGTGGCACCCCATGACTCTGAAAGGGTTTCCTTCTGCTCATTTGTGTTCAGAATAGTGGTAGAAGGCTGAAAGTTGCTATCTCTGTGGGTGTTTGTTACTACATTTTATATAGAAATCTTTTGCTTGCTTGTTATGGCCGGATAGTTATCAACACTTTGAATAGGCAGTTACTTTGTACAGACAATAGTAAGGTTGCAGTACACTAACATATTAAGCAAAATCTAGGTTAAAAAGAAATGATCAGAGGCGCCTTCTGTAGTAATTTCCATCCTACGTAAGGGTAAAAATTTTAGTTTGGCTCAACCTGAGTTCAAACCATTTCCTCTGCAAGATTAAAGTTATTTCTCTGTCTGAAACAGGAATACTGCTATCTCCTGAGGGAGCTGTAATGTAATTCATTGACAATATCTAAAGAAAATAAACCCAGAAAGGAAAGAGGCCTGTAGAATTTGGTATTGGAGAGTTGTCTGGCAGCCTCTTTCCTCAGATCCCACTAAGGAATACACTAAGAAACTGCACTATCTGCTCAGGACACTCCCTAAACAAACACAGGAACAAATCGACACACCCTTAGAGCTCCGACCAGGGTTGTTCTATCTGTTACCCAAGATCCACAAACCTGGAAATCCCGGACGCCCCATCATCTCGGGCATTGGCACTCTCACTGAAAGACTGTCTGGCTATGTGGACTCTCTGCTCAGACCCTACGCCACCAGCACTCCCAGTTACCTTCGTGACACTATGGATTTCCTGAGAAAACTGCAATGCATAGGTGATCTTCCAGAAAACACCATCCTAGCCACCATGGATGTAGAGGCTCTCTACACAAACATCCCACATGCAGATGGAGTACAAGCTGTCAGGAACAGTATTCCTGATGATGCCACAGCACAACTGGTGGCTGAACTCTGTGAATTTATCCTCACACACAACTATTTCAGATTTGGTGACAACATATACCTCCAGACCAGTGGCACTGCTATGGGCACCCGCATGGCCCCACAATACGCCAACATTTTTATGGCTGACCTGGAACAACGCTTCCTCAGCTCTCGTCCACTTACACCCCTTCTCTACCTACGCTACATCGATGACATCTTCATCATCTGGACCCATGGGAAGGAGACTCTGGAAGAATTTCACCATGATTTCAACAGCTTCCACCCCACCATCAACCTCAGCATGGACCAATCTACACGGGAGGTCCATTTCCTGGACACCACGATACAAATAAGTGACGGTCATATCAATACCACCCTATACAGAAAACCTACCGACCGCTATACTTACCTGCATGCCTCCAGTTTCCATCCCGGACACACCACACGATCCATTGTTTACAGCCAAGCACTGAGGTACAACCGCATATGCTCCAACCCCTCAGACAGAGACCTACACCTACAAGACCTTCAACAAGCATTCTGTAAACTGCGATACCCACACGAGGAAGTGAGGAGACAGATTGACAGAGCCAGACGTGTACCCAGAAGCCTCCTGCTACGGGACAAGCCCAAGAAAGAAACCAACAGAACACCACTGGCCATCACCTACAGTCCCCAGCTAAAACCTCTCCAACGCATCATTAGTGATCTTCAGCCCATCCTGGACAATGACCCCTCGCTCTCACAGGCCTTGGGAGGTAGGCCGGTCCTTGCCCACAGACAACCCGCCAACCTGAAGCATATTCTCACCAGCAACTACACACCGCACCATAATAACTCGAACTCAGGAACCAATCCTTGCAACAAACCTCGGTGCCAACTCTGCCCACATATATACACCAGCAACACCATCACAGGACCTAACCAGACCAGCCATACTGTCACTGGTACATTCTCCTGCACATCCACCAACGTAATATATGCCATCATGTGCCAACAATGCCCCACTGCTATATACATCGGCCAAACAGGACAGTCCCTACGTAAAAGAATCAATGGACACAAATCTGATATTAGGAATGGCAACATACAAAAACCTGTAGGGGAACACTTCAATCTTCCTGGACACACAATTGCAGATCTAAAAGTAGCCATCCTGCAGCAAAAAAACTTCAGGACCAGACTTCAAAGAGAAACTGCTGAGCTACAGTTCATCTTTAAAAAAGCAGCTTCTGCTCTCTTGGAATTCACACCTCCAGATCAGCTGCTAGAAGTGGGCCTCATCCTCCTTGATTGGATCCACCTCGTCATCTCCAGCCTGATTCTGGCCTGCATATTTATTTCTGCCTCTGGAAATTTCCACTACATGCATCTGACGAAGTGGGTCTTTGCCCATGAAAGCTTATGCTCCTACGCTTCAGTTAGTCTATAATGTGCCACAGGACTCCTCATCGCTTTTGCTGTGTAGGCATACCCTCAGGGAAGAAGAACACTGAGATCTTGAGGTTGCCCTTATGTGAATTGTCAGCAATGGAAGAAAGGTTTGGCCCAGCTCATGGGTTTCTTTTTTCATACCTCAGTCACACATCCTGGAGTAAATGTTAACTGAATTTCATGTTGTGGATGAAAGTTAAGAAAGCAAGATTGCTACTGATGCATCCTTTTTGCCAAGCAAAAAATGCTAGGTCAAACAATTTGCTGGAAGTCAACTGGTTAGAAAGAGACAAATTTAAATGTAGCAAATCTGACACTTGGATTGATGATGGATTAACTTTCTGCTCTAAAGCTGAAATAATTCAGCATGATTCAGATGTCTGTAGATGAAATGTCTTTGTGTAGATGTCTTTGTGTTTTTCATTCATCCTCCTTAGCCAACTTTAGGAAGCTCCAAATTATTGTCCCATCTTTCTGGTCTTGAGGTATGAATAGTACAGCACTTGTGATGCAATCCGATAAAATGCAGCCGTATCTGTTACATTATCAGGTATTTTATGGTAATTATTGTAGAGACCTAAGTGGTAAGACTGGAAGTAAAAGATCTCAGTATTAAAGGCTGCAAGGTGCCATTTGCTTTGCCTTCACTGTCATGTAAGATGCACTGGAGAGAGATTCACAGACACATAGAAATTGTCAGGGTTTCTTTTTTTTACTACAATGATTAGCTCAAATTTTAATGGAAGATTTCATGATAAAGAAAACAGTGAATGTAATTCAAAACGTTAGGGCCAAATCCAAAGCCCAAATGAAATCAATGTGAATCTTTCTATTCAATGGGCTTGGCAGGTACTAGTCCCTTAGTCAGGACATAGGGTATATTTATATGCACCTCCAGCAACTAGCAGCAGTCAGAAACTTGTAATGAAACTTTCAAAGAAATTTTCAGCCTTTTTTTTTCAAACTTTCATTACAGAAAGGAATGAGCTCTGTGTATGCATTACGAGTTTTCACATACGATAGTGTTATATATACAGATGAATGGCTGGCTATGTAGTCGGCCAAAATTAGGCTTAACTTTCATATTTTGAAAATTGGATAATTTAACCCAATTGGGTAATTAAATTGGGTAATTTAGTCTAGATCTTAATTTATATTGGAATGCACAAAACCTGAGCTTTGGTCTAGCTTTTTGTTTTAAAATATGAATTAATATTTTGTAAAGGAGCCTACACATGGCTAATTCTTAATAGTTAATCTCGGTGTCTGGTTTGAATGATAACAAATATATATTTACAAACATAAAACAACGTTCTTAACTTTCTACTAAGAATGGCTGTGACAAAAAGGAAATCTTGGTTTGCCTACTGAATCTCTATGAAACCTAGAAGAGGATAATTAGGATCTCTGGTAACAAAAATGCCTTTTTTCCTCAGACAAGCCATAGTTATGAAAGCTCAGTTTACAGTTAATGTAAGTATGAAAGAAACATTTTACTACTTTTAAGCTGAAACACTGACAGGTGTTGCTACTTTTAAATGGTGGAAGTAACTCACTCATGGAACATTTCACCCTAACTAGAATGACTAAAAATATTGTTAATGTAATATTCAGTTTTATTTTGGGGGATAGTTAAATTCTGGACTCTTTCTATCTGAGCTCATTATTATAGACACCTGGCAGACAGAAACCTAATGACTGACACGCTCAACGAGATAACTGCATTAGTACTGGAGAAGACAGCTTTAGGATATTGTTGAAACATTTTTTGCTGAAAAAAAGATGTGCATAGAAGAAGAAACAATCCTGACACTATGAAACTAACTTACACTGATAACTGAGCATTGCCAAGAGGAGCCCAATCTTCAGGTGGTGTAAATCAGAGTAGTCACACTGACTTAAGGAGATTCTCTTATCTGCAAATGCTGGGTCTCTCTGACCAAATAATACCATTTTACTTTTCTTAGGTTCCTAAGGTCATCTGAGGGAAGAGGAGGGAGCCAGAAGAGTCCTTACAATAAATCATAAATATTTAAATAGAAAATCCCTTAGAAGTTCAGAAATCTGCTTAATTCTTTTAAAGTTCCTGTGGCTATTGTATTAGCTCAATCCTTTGAGCCCAGCACTGCATTATAACTAAAAGTGTAACAAGTTCAAAGAACAGTCAATATTAGAAAAAGGTTGCAGCATCTAGCTGCTCTTTATATACAGTCCAAATATACAGAAACTAAATGGTAAAGACATAATCAAGTTAAAGCATGTCCAGACTTCTAATATTAACTTCAGCTTACCTTGTGCCTTATAGACTGGATAAGCAAGCTGTGATTCCTCTGGTTCATTGAAGGTGAGTCTCCTTTGCCATATATCATCTCAGTACAGACAGCCTGCTTTGTATAATCCTAAAATTTGACTTAACTGAAACTGCCAAAGGAATCAAACCTACACCTCTTAATCTCCTGAACCAACACTGTCATAAACTGTCTGACACTGATGTGCACAGAAAGATGCATCTTGAGAGATGTGATCTTTTATTTTCAAGAATTGATAACCATATCAGGAAGAGATATTGTTTGTTAAGTGTCTGTGAAAGGGAGCTGAATGTTCAGGTTGATATATAAACTTAGCTTGCAATTTGCAGTTGATGTTTGGGTTTTCTGCACATGTGTTGAATATGTCTGTAGTTGAATTGCATTAGCAACCTTAATGCTGTTTTTTACCTTAGAATTTCTTTATTCTCATGGGAAAACCCTGCATGTTATCTAGAGAAATCTTGAGCATTCACATTTTTCTGCCAGGAGAGCAGTTTTCTTTTCTTTACTGTTTTACTAATATATCTTGCCTCCGTGTTCCAGTCACTGAAGCAGTCTCACACCTTGCTCCCCCAGCCAGTTCCCACAGTCTAGCTGCAACCCATACAGAACCCTGTTGCATGGCAATAAAATAAAATAATTTAAAAAACCCAGCCCTGAAGCCCCAACCAGCTCTACTAGGGTATGTCTACACTACCCCCCCCCCCCCCTCTGCAC